ACGATCTAGTGACTTTCATTCATATGTTATCATTTGTATGAGCCAGCAATCTATAGGAGATGTTTGATTATTTTTATTCGTGCATGTAATAACATCTCTCAAACTCATAATTTGTATTGGATCCATTTTCCATGAATTCTCATTGTTTCCAATTCATTTGTTTCGATTCACTTGAAACCTTTCGTTTCCAATTACGACATAATATAAATTCTTGTTTCTGTTCCAAAAATGTAGAAAATGGATTGCAGAGTGGAAGATTTTCACTTGTGTCATGTACTATAATACATTCTGCCCCAAACAAGATCAGGCGGACCCGTCTGCGTAAATTTGCGCGCTCGCGCGCTGGCATCTGCGCTGCATATGCGCGCTGTCGGAGAGACAAAAGGATTGAGGAGAGAGCAGAGAAGCAGGCTGTGGGCGTGACAGCGAAACCCTAGCGACGCGGACTCCCGTCATGCCAATTGTGGTCTGGTTGGGATTGATGCAGACTGTAGCTTTTTTATGATGTAATCGAGGCCGACTGGCAACTGCTGCGCGCTTATTAACATTTATTTATAACATATTCGTAGCTTCTCTCCAAAAGTGATTTTCAGCTTCTCCGTGACTCCCGTGCTTGAGTACGGATATGAAACTTCTGGTGCTTCCACGCGGTCTTGCCGGATAAGCTTGGCTTGGGCATCTATCCTTGGTCAGTAAAAACTGTGAAATAGCTTGCTAACCCGATGAAACCCTTGGACGTACCCTGAAGGAATTGTTCAGGGAGAAGTAACACAGTAATACTGATAGGTACAGGACACGGTCGAGCAATGATCAACTGTCGGGACCCATGCTGAAGAGAGAAAAGTTTGAGGGTAAACAAATGGCTTCGCATTTGCATCCCAGTTTCAGCCTTTTTGAATCTTGAATCTTGGCATGGCAAATGTTCATGTCTAATACTGTTTCAGCGACGACCTAGATTATATATCTCTACTGGCCAACGTTTCGGCGATTTCGTTCTCGTCAAAGTCTGTAAAGTCGAAGTTTAAGTAATCCTTTCATTTGAATGCCATAGAGTCAGCTTAACATTCGACCGTGACAGAGTGACAACGCGGACTACGGTAGTTGATACCAATCTCGGAAGAGAGTTCGGGATCCGCAGTGGACACGTTCCATAGTTGTCCTCATCCCACTAGTCGGTCGATGGGCGGATTCGAATTCGAAGAAGAGCAAGCAGAGCGCGACACCTGAACCCCCTGTTCAGGTTTTGCGCATGTTTCTTTATGTTTTTTTCACTGTAGATGTGTTAATTTACCTGCATCGTTCCTAAAAGCTTAAAGGCAGTGGCTCGGCAAAATCAAACATTTCGAAATTTTGATATGGAAGGTTGCTTGCATTCCAAATATCAAAAGTGAATAGGTCCGAGTGCACTATATGCTGCCCCTGCCTAGAAAACTGCCCCTAAACCCGTACGCGCAAGCCATACACCAGCTCGGACAAGCTTGCGGTCCTCCTCTCAGACACTGGGACCGGCTGAGCCGCGGCCTCAAAAGGCCTTTCCGGCCCGTCCGCGGCCTTAATTTGGGGGCGTGGCCGAAGACCGGCCCAGCCGCGGACCTTGATTCATGTCGACATCGATCGATACGATTGCACCGGCTGAGCCGCGGACTGAATATGGCCTACCGGCTCAGCCGCGGCCTTAATGATGGGGGTGGAGCATTGCAGCGGCTGAGCCGCGGACCAAAATCTCTATTACGAAACCCCGGCCGAGCCGCGGCCGATGTCAGATAAGGTCCGCGGCTCGGCCGGAGGGTAAGCTGTTTGCTTTTCCAACTAACTTTTCAACAAATACGCTATGCTCACACGCTGCTCATATGCTCACATTGTTTCTATTCTTGTATGCATATTGTATCCGCACTCATACTTTGAAACTAAGCATATTTGAGTAGAATTTCATACTACTGAGCGGATGTTTTCGAGAAATACGTCATGGTTTCGCAATCCTTGAGAGATTTCTATCTCTCAAGGGATATCGATTACTATTCGATACTATTCGATATCGATTACTTCGAGAATGTCCAGTGCTAGTATGTAGTATACTAAAACTTCTTACATACTCTTGATGACCTTTGCCGACATTTAACTAGTTTGTGCAATTACACATGTAGACACATAGAGTTTTACGCCAATTTGATTGCTCAGCTTTGAATGAATTCATAGGGCAGGTCCTTTTTAAAAAGTTTTGTTTTTCTGTTACAGGCTCGCTGGTGCTTAGCCAAAGCTTTGAACCAGATGTGTGTCTACCATCATATGAACTTTCAGGTAAGTCAATATAATCATGTAGAATCTAATTAGCAAATGTTTTGCAAACTAAGTCAAAATTTCACAGTTTTTCTGCTTCAAAGATGAAAATCATTCTATAACCCAGCTATGTCCATTGCTAAAAACTATTAACCAACTACCAACTACTTCGTGAAGACAGCTGATGAATTTCATAAGAGGTTTAGTTTATTTGTGCAATCACACACATATAGACACATCGAGTTCTACGCCAATTTGATTGCTCATTTGAATGAATTCATAGGGCAGGTCCTTTTTAGAAAGTTTTGTTTTTCTGTTGCAGGCTCGCTGGTGCTTAGCCAAACCTTTGAACCAGATGTGTGTCTACAATCATATGAACTTTAAGGTAAGTCAATATAATCATGTAGAATCTAATTAGCAAATGTTTTGCAAACTAAGTCAAAATTTCACAGTTTTTTTGCTTCAAAGATGAAAATCATTCTATAACCCAGCTATGTCCATTGCTAAAAACTATTGACCAACTACCAACTACTTCGTGAAGACAGCTGATGAATTTCATAAGAGGTTTAGTTTATTTGTGCAATCACACACATATAGACACTTCGAGTTCTACGACTAATAAGTAAGCTAAGCTTTTCGAAAGTTTTTGATAACTGCTCTACACGGAAGCGCATACTTTTGTTCAGATACACTTATTCTTGACTATCATTATCTATGTCACTCCAATGTGTACTCTGTGATAGGTATTCTAAAAGTAAACAAGACTTTGAACTTAGTCTATGCTTACAGTAGCTAGCTACAACAACATGAACTGTGCTCAGATCGACGCTACCTACAGTTGCTTTCTAATGACATTTTAACTTGGTTGCAGGATATCGGGAACGTATAATAAAGAATAGCATGTTGAAGTCAAACAAGGTTCGACGAATTAAGGAGAATAAGGAGGATAGTGAATAACTAAATGGTGGGTTTCCAAATACTTTGGTAGAATATTCTCATATCATTGTAAATAATTTACGGTAACCTGCGGTTATTTATTATCGCTTTCGAACTTTCATACATTTAGATAGTTATGTTCTATTCAATTACTTACTACTACTACTTCTACTTTACTTCTACTTTAGGTTCTACTTTGCGTCGCAACAAAATATCGCGTTGGCTGATGCTGCCGAATTGGATCTACACCGAGAGTTCACAAATATGAGAAGAACTTTGCTGGAGTACAAATTTGCGAGTCCCTCTCGGGACATTTGAATAACTGTTTGAAATCCATGAAGCTATATCTCATTGTTTGAATAAAGCCTCTGTCTCTTGTACCTCTCAACGAACTTTAGTTTCGATAGTTTATCGAACAAACGTTATCCTAAATCAGATGCTTCTCTTACGCTGAAACTTTACTTTTAGTTTATCATGCCATATCTTACTGTATGTCCGCCATCAACCTCCAGAGATGTTATTCGGTATAGAGCAGGTTAGTCATCACTGTTCAAATCATAAATGTACATTATGTGACGCACATCCAATACACTAATTCCGACGCTTTGCTCTGGAGTTTCGGAGTGTATTGTTTGAGGATCCTTTCACAGTGCCTACACAGGGCGTCCAAAAAGACGTTCAAACTTTTCCATTTTGAATGTTTCTCTAGCTTGCTGTCTTTCGTTGACCTCAAAATTTTTTATAACTGAAACCGGGTTCACCTTGGATTTAGATTTGTGAAGTTGCGTCAGCTACTTTGCAAGGGCGTCATCATGCCCCACCCTCATCCCGCAACAACGAGGATGAGGGTGGGGCATGATGACGCCCTTGCAAAGTAGCTGCAAGTTTGGAACTATAACAGAACACTTTGAAACCTTTGTGGTGGAGATTTTCAAAGGCTCTGCTCCCAGAGAATAACTTGCGCACTACGTGCAAAGCATTTAGATTGTGTTGTTAGGTTTTTGATGTTTAGCAAAGATGTGCTGTATCGCACAAATGATTAGCACTCACTGGGTAACAATATTTCCTGTTCTTTTTCAGAGCCATGTTGGGTGAAGATCTGATTCTCATTGGTGATCTTTTCTAAAGTTCCCCAACGTAGCCGTACAGTAACGCAACCCATCGATGTCGTTCTATACTTAATTCCAAGGTGGAGCCAACTCAGAATGGTGACAACGGGTTGGGGTTAGAGAAAAATAAGTGACCAAACACTGGGGACCTGTTTCTCTCCTATATCCTATTTTCTGTGCGATCACTATCGCTTTCACCTGTGATTGCTACAATCGAGTAGGTCGTAATCTAGTAGAAAAGTTTATCCAATAGGTCCATTTTGCCATTCCTATGTGGCATATTTTCTTAGATCAACACCGGGCTGCACGACGTGGATTATACCTTCCAGCGAATAACAATCGACTGCTTCTAAACAGAACAGGCCCAAGGTTGTATGGATGTAAGACCTCATCTCCAAATTCAGACTGTTTCAGCGTGCAGTCGCTGCAGCTTCTGCTCATCGCCATAGCTGCACGACTTCAGCATGTTACTCTAATAATCGCAAATATCTTTAAACACATTTTCTTCTTTGCATGACAATAATCTCTTTAGTAGCAATAGAAAGACATCTGCGAAGACTGCGCAGATCGCCTTTTGAAGGACACCTGCACAGAAATCAAGGGAATACTGTCGAAGGGCACGTGCACAGAAATCAAGGGAATACTGTCGAAGGGCGCGTGCACAGAAATCAGGAGAGTATGTTCTACCACGAATTTGAAAGTCTACTGGATGAAACCTCCATTCCTCTTGAAAGCAGGCAGGATTTGCGTAAGCTCATGTTTCGCAAGTGTCCGAGACACTACAAAATTCGTTTCAGAAAGATCTGACCGCCTTCTTTGTTATGCGGCTTACATTTTGCTGTTTGGTCTCTCGGCAGTGCAGATCAATTATCTAGAGCAGATGATGAAGTTTCTCTACGAAAATGATCCGCCAATTTCGGTAAATTGATTGATAGTCTTATATTACAACTGACTATCATTGCTTGAAGCATCATGATATCGAAAGTTACTTCGAAGGTATTTTGCAAACTTATAACATCACAATAAGCTATTTCTGTTCCTCTTGTACAAACCTTATGGAATCGTCCCAAACACAGTGCGAAAATCCAATGTGCGCAATCTACAGGTATTTCAAGATTAATGCCCCGGTCTAATAAACACTCAAAGCATGTTTTCAGACAGAATATCAAGAGAGCGAAAAGGATGCAGCGTACCGAAGTCCATCTAATAGATTTGAAGCCGCAATTAGAAGATATTTTAAGAGAAAATATTGGGAAGATTATACATCTGCATGAATACCTGCACCGTCACAGGGTACGTTGTAGTTCAAGGTAATTCTAGGACCTATGACTATTTTTTATTATTTATTTATTTATTATTTATTTAAATTGCATTGGATATTATGTAACGATTATAGAGGCTTGTTGGTAATTAACTCGGTAATTTTGTTGGTAATTTTCATGATACTATTCAAAACTTTTGTGATAAATTGAAGTCATAGCCATATTCAAGGAGAACTTGAACGGAAACTGCGGCGACATAAGATATTTTGATGGATATGTGAACTATCACATATATTCAAAGCGCTACAAAAAGCATTGTATGTGGTGTAGAAATCGTTTAGATTCTTTAATGACTCTAATTTACAGAAGAGATGTACGAGCGTCCACATACAAGGAAGACGGTGGTCTATGGAGTCCAAGTACTGTGAGTTTACACTCACATAGATTTGCAGTTCTGAAATTTTGAGTATTTCAGCGGCAGAAGAAGACTGAAGAAAACATCAACGTAATCGAAAAAGAAAACATCAACGTGATCGACAAGGAAAACATCAGAGAAATCGACGCCAGGACGTACTACTGCCTTTAGGGATAGATCGACGGGTTCCAAACGCAACTCCACCTCGTTTAAATGTCATGTTGTCGTTTTCGTTGTGCTTTTGTTATCTTGCTAACATGTTCTCACTTTTGTTGTTGTTTGAAATGAAAATCCCATGTGTATTCTCTTCTGTGCTGTTGAATAAAAAGAAGTTCTACCGTGAATCCGTGTTCGGCTTGAAGATTCAATCATTATATGATTAGGATAATCCTAGATACGGCGAACCAAGCCAGTTATGGCCAAGCTATAATGAACTATACGCGGCCCGATAGCCAGCTATGGCTGAGCCGAGGTTCACTATCGGCTGAGCCGAGGTCCATTATCGGCTGAGCCGAGGCTCACTATCGGCTGAGCCGCGGCCGTTTTCCGGCTGAGCCGCGGACCTTCACCGGCTGGTCCGCGGACCTTCACCGGCTGGTCCGCGGACTATTCACCGGCTGGTCCGCGGACGCTGCGAAATTCCAGCCGGAAATGGGCCGCGGCTCGGCCGGTCCCAGTGTCTGAGCTCCCACCGTCGTATGCCGCAATGCTATAAACATGAAGGTCCCATAACGACTCTACGTCCCTCTGTGGCGGGGAGTGGTCCACTCGTCCAAATTCAAAATGAAAACTTTTGGAAAATGCATGTTTTCGACATTTTCGTGCTCTTCAAAGTGTATTTTTGAAAACAGCGCGTCGAACTACCCCAAGTAAACAAAACAAATTTCAGATCGAGGATTTGCCGAGCCACTGCCTTTAACACGTTTTGGACCGCGAAATCGCGCGCGGCGAAAAAGAGTGTTCTTTCAACCTTCAGCCAACGAAGGGACCTTATTGTGAAGACTGTGTGCTATATCTGTAATGACCATGTCGGGTAAGCTCCTACCCAAAGTTCTGAGTAAATTCTAATTGAATTTTGCCACTTGAGAAGGACTTCTGTTTCCTGAAAGATAGGAACAAGAACTCAGTTTCTAATAGTATTCAAAAGTATCTATGTTGTGGAGGTACACATCAGTATAGAAACTATGTTATTCTCTTTGATATCGAAGCAAAGAATAGTTGCGACGTCGCACGCGTCGTTCGCGTTGCCGCACTTCGTTGAAAGTTTGTTCAATTTGTCCTCATATCTCCTAAACAGATATCGGCGCCACAGCTCTACACAGTCATTTGAAAAGTAGGAGCTTGAACCTTTAACTTAATGACTTTCGACTAAAAGAAAACCTCCTGTAAACGTCGAGAAGATCGTTCAAAGCAGGGTGCTGCACCATGTGCAGCACCGGTCCGAAACGTGTTAAATAATCACCTAAACAAAAACCGAGCATAACTGCGCGAAACAACACTCAACAGCAAAACCAAATTTGACTAGAAACATTAACATAGTATATAAATTAACAAGCAACGGTGTAAAAAACCAGGAAGAAATATGGGTAGTTTTGAACTGAGGGGGTAGGTGGCGCGCTCTGCCGTGACCGGCCTGCTCCAGTTTGAATTGTCCACTTGAGCCGACCAGTGGGATGAGGACGACTATAACAAGGTCATTCCTCCGCTCTTGTTATAGATATGTGCTGATTTTGTATCAAGTCATAAGGACTGGTACAGCGGATGGCAACTGTCAGCAGATGTGTGCAGTTCATCGTTTCAAGGATAGACATATACTCGCCGTCAATCCCTAAGTTACATTTGCAATGTGGAGTGGTGTGGTGCGGCCGCATCGCTTTGGGCTTGCGCCACGTTGCGAGCGTATCGCTTAAACGTGATGTGGCCGAAAGCGATGCGGCCGCACCACACCACTCCACATTGCAAATGTAACTTAGGGATTGACGGCGAGGGTACCTTCAATGACCGTATAGGGTACGTCCACCAATCTGACAACGTGGCGGACAACTGCTCACCGTTCACTGTAATGGAATGAGCTTCCATTTTACGGTCAGACTTGAATCCACGCATTCGTGGGACTGGGGCGAGTTTATTGTTGACAAACACCTCTTCTTTCCTGTTTTCGGGCGATCTCCGCCAAGATTTAGACCGTATTGATCGTTGACTGCATTGGCAATAAAGGAAGGAATGCCAATCTTGGAACTCAGCTTGAGAATTGGGACAATTGCAAGTCTATGTCAGACAAAGAAGTCTGGAGGAACTGTTTGCTGAGCAAATACGCAAGTTTATATACTGTACTACCTTCTCAAGGGCAGTATCCGCAAAAGCTTTAGTAAACTTCGTTAACAGATGCTCTTGAAGCACCGGAAGCTATACCAGACCTATTAGATACAAAGTATTGAGTTTTGTTGCATACTCAATTTATCCACTAATTAGCAAAAACTCTTAGTTGTGGGTAAAAATTTACTTACAGTTGTTATATACCTGGAGTTTCACATCTTTCCGTAATCTCGTCGTAACCTGGACACTTCGTTAATCAAAATTTTTCCATAATGTTACGGCAAGATATGCGCTATATAGCCACCACGATAATCTTGGAACAAACCTGCAAAAGGCTTGTCGCCAAATTCAAAGCCAAAAAAGTGCTTATCGAGAACTTTTAGCTGCTGAGTATCTATCTAATCTAGGTCCATTTCTTCTCGGTCTCGTCCATTCTTTTACCCTGTATAACTGTGAGCTCAACGTAGAATCAAAACGGTTGTTGTTTAATGTCAAGACTTTGATGAGATTCAATCATCGAGCTTATATACAACTAGCTGGCGTACCCGGCCTTGCCCGGGAGAACATCACTTAGGGTTCACCGTCTTTGTAGGTATGTGTGACATTCAAAGCCGTAGTGCATCATTTTGTTTGCAAACCATAAAAAGTGTAGGGACAGAGTTTTACTCCTTAACGGTTTTGTTCAAATGAAATTATCTAGAAAAGCGCGTAATGTAGGGGTAAGAAATCAAAAAACTGTAATGCATTCTGATTTCTTTTTCTTCAAAGGTTGTAGCAGATCTCTTGAAAATGAAACAAACTTCGAAAAGAGGAAGTAAAAATTAAACGCGTTCACTTTTACTTAACAGCATTGTCTCTCTTTCTTTTTAAAACATGGAAGACGTGCAAAACATTGAAGAGCAGCATTGCGGTATAAGTGGATAATAGGACGTCCGAATAATGTAGCACCTACTGCTATCCTGAGGATCATTTTTTTCTAGTGCTTTGCCGCTAACCGGTTATTCTGCTTCAACTCCCGCCCCCTTCCCTTCTCTTTCGTCCTACGACAAAAGTGAGTACTTCTTTGACTTTGCTTGCTTTGGGAGCGGATATCTTTACAGCCCCAGCAACAGCCATTTTATCATGTAAAAAATATGTAATTTATAACTTGTGACATTTGAATGGCTCATTAATGAAAAAAAAAACTCAAAAACTTCAGTCAATGAACCAAATTTTGATTTAGAGGCTTTAAGATTGAGAGTCACGCTCGTGCGGCTAGAAGTCATGCCCGAGGTCCCAGCCTCTAAAGTTATGGCACGCAATCTGAGACAGCTTGTAACTTAGCGATTGGCTCACACCTCAGCTTGCGTTAACAAAATTAGCACCTCGCACCGCAAAGAAGATGCACTTCGCGGTTTTAGGCCCCGGGCAGACTTCAAGCGATTTGATCGTCGCGACTGAATCGCGACAAGACAAGCGTTACAACATCATTCCGTGCCGATCAACTTGCATTTCGGTTGTGATACTTTTCCAGCCCGGAATTTGTGAATGTAAAATGAAAATGAATGGAAATCTCAGCGATTAGATCGCGACGATCAAATTGCGTGAAGTCTGTCCGGGGCCTTAGACAGACTATATAGGACCTACATTTGAACTCTTTCGACCTTGCTTTGATGACGAAAGCTCACAATGGAACGTACTGCTCTTTTACATAACTGTAGGAATGGTTTGACAATTGTTGCTTGTGTGAACAAGCAAATGAACAGCGTCCGCAATGGGTGCTTAAAGGCACTGTCCGGGCAAAAACTCGATATTGAGATTTTGTGCTTACCCGGGCCTATTCGTTACGCTGAATCCGAAAATGCACATTGGCGAACGCGAAAACGGCGAAAACCGCTCAAACACGGGAGGGAAATCAGCAGGAAGCGGGATTTTCCCTACTGTGAATTCACGCTCCCAGCTTCCGGAGCGACTTTCTCGCTACCGGTTTCAAGTCAATCAATCGTACATGGCTGTTAGCGATGTTAGGACGGCTAGCGGAATCAAGAAGACCGCTCCGGAAGCAGAGAGCGTGAATTCACAGTGGGGAGGACCCGACCACTTGCTGTTCCCTCCTGCGCTAAAGCTCTTTTTGCCGTTTTCGCGCTTTCTAGGGTGGATTTTTGGATTCAGCATGGCAGATAAGCCCGTAAAAGCACAAAACCTCAAAATCGAATTTTTGCCCGGACACTGCCTTCAACCGCTTACCTTTGCATTCGATATCGAGAAATGATCTTACCCGACTTTCACTACTTCTGCTGGATCTGTCTTGATTTCGGAACAGGAAGGTCAGAGCTTATCTAATTAATGTTTCGATGTTTGGGTTCGAGAAGTGCCGCTGATATCTCATTTCGCAGCAATCGACTATCCATTATCACGCGTTTATGGGATGAAAAAAGAACAGGCTCGGCATAGCTGGCACCGGGTCAAGTCAAGCTGGATATAGTTCTTGAGACAAAAAGCAAAGGGGATCGTTTTTGTGTCGTTTTTGTGGTCGAAAAAGCACAAAATTTGCGACCTTTTTTAGTCGACATATGTTTTTTTACGGTCATTTACGTTTAGGATTTAGGATCAGGGAACTTCGTACAAAGTTTTCAAGATTAAGAGGGATTCATTTTCAAGTTTCCCTGGTGCCAGCTCGTGCCGAGTCCTGAAAAAGAACTATACATGGTTAAACTAACATGCTGCCAATCCGAAAAGTCAGTGCACGAAAGTTTGGTCAATAATGATTCCTGCGTTTCCCAAATAGGAGAGGTGAAGCGGAGACAGTTTTGCGCTGTGAAAATCATCATTTGCGTTCTTTTCACCAAAAAATAAAGTTGATAATCACCAATAAGAGGAAACCAATCGAAAGCTTAGGCCAAAAATGTTCGTACTATTTCTGAATAGCCTAAGTATATAAGTTTGATTTTCGCTGCACTGCTTTGGAAAATCTTGGGTACTCTCGGATATTTACATTTAATGTATTCAAATAAGGCGTAAGATTTCTAGATGATAAACCACTTGCAACTCCAGGGTTCTATCAACCGTCCATGCGTCTATCCTCCTTTGCCTTTCCCGATTCCTGTCTTATAAATCTGCATACCCTGGTGGAGCGACTGGAGTACTTAAGATAATCGAGTAGATAAGATCTTCAAAGAAAAGCCGAAAAGTATAAGTTTTTTTCTCTTAATTTTTGTAAGAAAAAAGTGCATTGGTGGTATAAGCTAAGGAATGATCTTCAAGATTTGTTCATTTGTTTGTGATGTACTAATTTAGCTGCTCATAATGGGTTCCACCACCTCGTTTTGTTACTCTAACAATAAGAAGACTTTTCAGACCTTCTAGGACCCGAGCACAAATCTCGTACGAGTTTGCTAAAATCAAATCTCTTCTAAATCTTACATTTACACCTGCCAAGAGAGTAGTCATAGCATAGTGAATTAATGATTTTGGTAAAGAGATGTTTGATTGGATTTTTCATTTAACTATAATTCGAAAATGGAAGTGTAGAAATTTGAACTGTGATGCTAGTTGCCTATATGTATCAGTGATCTGCGAAAATGAGGATTTACAGCTAAATGTCACATCGCCTTCAATCAACTTGCAATTAGTTGAAAGTTGCTGCTACTTTACCTAAAAATTCTCATGAAGAATAAAATTAAAAAAAATCAAATTCATATGACGCAGAATTTTGTACCTCGTTTAAAACCTCGTATATGCAGAAATATTGGTTTATTGATTCAGATTCCTCAAAAATTTTGCCTGAATTGTAGGAAGTATTGAAGTTTGTGCAGTTCACTGCTACAAAATAAATGACTCTATACGGTTCAAAAAAGAACAAAATGAACAGCACCTTGATTGAATAATATACTAACAATAAAATTATAACGAATTCATACGCAAGTCCAAATATGTTTTGCAAAAATGATATCCAGATAGCGGAGGTGAGCAAAGACCAAGCTCAAATCAAGCACTCTGGACCGGACGTTTGCCTAATTGACAAGCTGTCCAAAATGTTTCGCTGACCGGCCATGAATCCTTGCTGACCGCATATAAGAACTGCCGTTATCTGAAATATCAACTTCCTCGTCGATTTCCTATTTCCTCACATTGGCTTTCTGGAAGCAACAGTGAAAATGTCTTCCAGCACAAAATTTTTACTTTCGATTGCTGTACTTGGTTCTGCAGCGTTTTTCTATGAAGTTCAGGTAAGTACTTAATTTGAGCGATTATATGTGAGCATATTTCCAAAATTATAAGTTCAAATAAGGAAAGTTCAGGCAGCTCCAACAGAAATTGCTCTTCATGACTCAAACATCACAACCATTGATACTCTAACTGGCCTAGACCATTCGTTTCGAGTGAAACGACAAGGAGGAGGCGGTGGCTGCGGTTGTGGATGTGGATGCTGTTGTCGTCCTAGGTAAGTAAATTCCACATCGGACCATAGATAATTCAAGAAGCAGTTACTGTCACTTTCAGTACTGGTCTTTTGAATGACACAAAGCAAAGGCTCACTCAAAAATAGTGTCGACGACTCCCACAAAGAACCTTTTTTACTTTGATTCTGACTTTTGTTTCTCTTTAAAAAAGCCTATATGTAAAGGAAAAAAAGATTTGGAATAGCTTTGATTTCTCATTATGTAAGCTGATAGAGAAAAGCGGCAAAATTTGAGAAAAGTGCGCTTCAAAAAGTTCAAAAAACTGACAAGTCTAGTTCAACTTTTCATAACTATTCATTCTTACTTTCGTAAAAAATCTCTAGATTAATTTTTTAGATTTTTGGTATGATATATACAGAGTGTCCCAAAAAGATGTGCACACTGTTTGATCGTTAATAACTCCCTTGCTTTCATGTCTTTCGCCGAGCTTGAGGTACTATTCTGTAGAGCGAAGATAAACTTAGATTTACAGCATGGAGCGAATCACTAGTCACTTTTCATTACTGTAGGATTATGGTATCAACTTTCAGCATACAGTCTCACTGTGGGTAGGCCTTTTGACGAAAAAATTTCAAAAAAATCTAAAAATCTGTGTAGCGAGGTTTTCAGGCATGCTAATTTCACTACATAACATTCCACCACAGTTTTTCGAGCTTTCTGGATGTTATAATCAATTTCTGACGAACATTGGAAAACCAGTTGTTACCCTAAATCTGAAATAACTTATGAAAGTAACAATGTCCTGTCGTGCAATTTTCATATTTAGAATCAGCGACTTCGATTAACCCAGTCTAAGAGTTTCTGGCTTGTCTGGCTTTCTTTCTGAGTCAAAATACCACTTTCAATGGCTCAAAATCCTCTTCGAAGTTCCTACCGTAATATACTACAGTAATGAAAAGTGACTAGTGATTCGCTCCATACTGTAAATCTAAGTTGAGCCTCGCTCTAAAGAATGGTACCTCACGCTCGGCAAAAGACATGAAAGCAAGAGAGTTATTAACGATCAAACAGTGTGCACATCTTTTTGGGACACCCTGTATAAGGCATATAGCCCTAACTTTTCCACAAAACGGTGATTTTTTTTACAGATGCTGTTGTCGCTGTACTACATGCCGTACCTGCTGTTGTACTCGCTGCTGTACATGCTGTCGACCATGCTGCTGTGGATGTGGCGGTGGTGGTGGCGGTTGCGGGGGAGGTTGTGGAGGGGGTTGTGGAGGAGGCTGTGGAGGAGGTAAACTATCCTAGTTGAGATTTTTTTAGATGTCCTAGAAATTACCAGAGTATCGAAAGAAATAATGAAGAATTTTGTAGGCTGTGGTTGCTGCGGCTGCGGTGGCGGTGGCCGTAAAAGGAGATCTCTTGACAATCTTCGCATTCGTCTTGGTGTAAAGAAATCAGCTGAAGCTAGAAATGGACAGCCAGCTGAACATCAGTACCCTAGAGAGAAGAGGGTAAGTTTCACCAAGAACTACTTTTCCGAACTTGGTAAAGATAGCGTATATAGAGCCTGTACGATGCTATGTGCCAAACGCTATGCCTTGCCCCAGCCCCACATCTGCCTCATCCAAGATATGGAAGTCACGATATCTATGGGGATTATTGAGACTCCAATCTATGTGTGATTACGTTATCAAAAGTTTTACAATAATTTATTCAATAAAGTATTTATAGTAAATGTGCTATTTCAAAATTCAAAAAAATATGACATATCAGCCAGGACATTTAACAAACAGCCAAGCCAAGAAGTTTTAATGACGACTATAAGGTCAATACATTATTTTTAATTGTATTTCGTATAAGATGATTTATTCGAGCTGAACTCTTAGAGGCCAAATTTGTTCAAAAAATTAGCAGCTTCTACAAGCTTTACTTAGAGAAAATTATTCCCAAATGTGAAGTTGTCCCAAAAGCAAGCCTTACTGAAAAAATAAAAAAATAAAAAAAGTAACCGAAAAAATATATATAAAAACAAAGAAGACTTGGGTAGATTTTTTGGTATCCATTTTGTAAGCATGCTTCGTTCTATCGAAGTACCCTAAGTTTGCTAAAAAACAAAAACAGCTTATTCAATCAGAATTTTATTACTGGGACAAACTAGTGCACTTCAAAAGTCTACAAATATATGTACGAACTCAATTTCGTGCTTATTTTCTTTTTAAATTGTATGAACAATTTATAAACCTGAGATGTCACCTTATGCCTTTCCCAACGTATTAGGAAAAGTGCATCCAAATTTCAATGTTGCTTATCCTCCTCAACAATCACCTCTTTTCTTGCTTATATATGTGATATGACTTACTCCAAAATTTTGATCTAATGGATGTTCATTCTTCAACAGTACTGGAAAAATCAAAAAGAACAGTGTAAACCTTGCACAAGAATGCGAAAAGTTTGAGAGCGCACAGAAACCAATCTACAAAATATCCCTAGGACAACTGATTCCGAAACTTATTCCCGTTCCTACAAACTGCCATAGAACCATGTGGAGCAGAGTTGGGCAAAAACGCGGCACAGTTCGACGCAGTTTTCTTCCTCTTTCCAGCAGTTATGTTTTGGGGTTATTAGCTTTGGTGGTATCAAGAATAGTTGCAGAAACTTCACAAACCCATGATTTTTAATCATGCTCAAGTTTGGCAATCTTTCACATTTTTGACTTTGAACTTCTGTAATAGTTTTGATAACGCCTGGATAGATAAACAACGTGCAACATTATAGATTTTTTGGCATCCACGGGGGTCCTTGAATTAAAATTATTTTTCTGATGTTAAGTCAAGCCTCACAAAACATCAACCACCAAACAACTCGTATCTTATTCGATGTAGTTCTTTCTCCTCTATATCTATCTATCTGACACTTTTTCCTTCCAAACTTATTCGAGGCAATCGTAAATTTTTGGTCGCCTATGGCTGTACCCAAACTTCCATGGTGTGAGATGTCGCCGAGTTTTGAAACTCCTACATTTTTGAAGATTTCTCAATGTATGTGCATTCCTGTATCAGATGATTTCGCAAAAAGGAAGACTTTTGAAAAACCATTTTGAAAAATGCTAAAAACTAGTCGGAGATGTCCAAGAAATTTGTTGTATTGCACTTCATGTATCTATCTACCTGTTATTATAGCTCTTCCATAAGTTAATACCGAACTCTTTAAAAAACCGTTAAACTTGGGTGTGGCAAAGCCATTCGAAATTTTCGAAATTCGAGTTCGAAATTTCGGCCATTATATTGAGTTGTCCCAAAAGTTTTGTCTGTTTTTTTCATCGCTCACTGAAATTCACAGAGCACCACATACACGACTTAGATACCATCTAATTCAAATTTTTATTTTTCTTACAGCTATACGTGCTCTTTGCTATATCCTTTCTTTGCGATATTATCGCCGTGACTTTTGAGCAGCTCAGCAGTAACGCCAAATCTTTCCCGAATTTTAGTAATTATCTTGATGTTTTCAAAGAGCGCTTTCGAAGAGTAACTTTTATTTGGAAACCTGTGGCTACATTGTATCCATTTTAGATAGCGTGAACCATGTCTACCAAGTCCATTATAATTGTCTATTAGGTCGGGCCGAAAGTTTTTCAATTTTTTGAAATTCTCAAATCCTGCAGTGAAGATAAACAAACATTTCAAGTTGTATCCAATGCAGAACTTCCTTTTTCCAGCTGCTATATTTTCACTGTGATGTGTTAAGGTGCTGGGATAACTGCTGGAGACTACAACGCGTCGTATTCACCATGTTCAAATTTCGCTAATTTTCAAAAATTTTATGTGAGAATTTTGAAGCTTCAATAACTAGCAGGAAGGGAAAAACTTTGCCAACTGCAGCAATTTTTCGTAGCCCTGTGGTTGTCTTTCGGATCTAATTGATCAAGTTTGATATTCCGCCTATTCTAACCTCGTAGAACATGAAATGGTAAACAGTTCAGGTACCATTCGATGCAACTTTTCATCCTCTTTCTTTTAACAATCTTTTCTTGGGAGATACGCGAAATTTGCAGGAATTGCGGCATTTCTCTATTTCACGAGTGCGCATTGACGTACTCCGATTTCTAAAATCTTCATCTTTTGAATCGAGAATCACCCTTATACTTCGTAAAGTCAGTAAAAGCGATAAGGAAGTTTTGAAATCTCATTAATCTGAAGATTCTGCAGTGTTTGGTGCAATAACAGGTTTTTCGATTTTTCCAAACCTCAAGACTTTTGGAAAATTATTTTTAAAAATTCTTAAAGAGTTGCTGAAAAGTAAAAAATTGTTCCATTAGGCAAAAGGTTTTCCCTACCTTTTACTCATTGGAGCTTCCCCAAAAATCTCATACAAAAAAACTTGAGACTAGCAAAAATTGGACATGGTGAAAACGAAGGTTGTAATCTACAGCGATTAACTCAGCACTCTTTTAACGAATCACAACAATCGTATAGCAGCTCGAAAGAGGAAGAAATTCTGCATCGGATACAACTTGGAATATATGTTTACGTTCACTGTACGGCATTTGAGGGTCATTTCAAAATTGACAAAACTATCAGACCGATCTAATCTCTATATATAAAGCAGAAAACCTATGAGTTTGTGTGTTTATGCACATTCCCAGAGTGCAGGATGTGCAGAATGTGCAGGGTGTGCAGGGTGTGCAGGGCGTGCAGGTGGGCAGGGTGTGCAGGGTGTGCAGGATGGGGAGTTTAGACTGATAGACTGGTTCCATACCGGAGGGAAACCCGGGATGCCTGCTCGTCTTATGTATAAAGCTGAATGTCTGTTTGTTTGTGTGTGTGTGTGTCTGTGTGTGTGTCTGTAAGTATGTTCCGAATAGAAAATTCTGCTTTTCAACCGATCCGGACCAAACTTGGCACACTTACGCTTCGGGGCGGGACGGGTGTCATAGACCACTTTTCGTCACCGATCGGTATTTTTTATCGATTTTTATCCATGTTTTTGCAAAATTCAAGCAGCGTGAGTGAGAGTTGGCACAGGGGATAATCAAGCATCTCGTACGTTCTCTGTTCGTAAAACCTGGACATTATGTCGTATATGCCCCCGCTGGGAAAACATAAAAAAGTTGATCATGGCGGCAATGATTGCAATGTAAAGTGCGTTGTATTAGCTTTAGAGACAAAAATATCTGCTCGTAAAGCCTTGAGGCGTCATTCATTCTATCCAGGGAGCCCAAAATCAATGGCAAAAATGAACAACTCTCTATCACAAGTGATCTCATGCCGTTCCTGTCATATTGCCAGCTATAACGCCCACTATATAAACAGATCCTCAAAAGAACCACGTTTATACTCTTGTCATCTCTGGGTGAAGCAAGGCACTGCCCTCGAAGCACATTATCAGCGTGCCCCTGGTGAGTTGTTAGTGAGTTGGATACTCGTTGATGTCGACTTGAAAAGAATTGAATAGTCGAGTCTAGAGGAGAGGTTTGGCCTTGTAAAGTGCAAGATTAAGGTAAATGACTGACTTTCAGGCCAGGGCCCGGCACGAGGTGGGCAAACGGGGTTTTCCAGAATGCATTCATCTTTGATCCCAATATTTTTTACGAATACCCCCTTGAGCCCAAAAACGAGCTTTGTGCTTGTGCAACGAGAGCACCGGCCACATCGCCTAAAAGAGCTCAAAAGCGCCCAAAAACGCCCATATTCTTTTAATTACTCCATCTGTATCCAGATAAAAAACAGGAAGAAGAGTGAGCAAGAAAAATGACAACGAAATAAAGAATATCAAAGTAACGCAGTCGTAGGACTGAGAGACGCCGTTCCCGTGCGTATCGATTGATTGGGGCGCGCTTTCCGTCTTAGAAAGCTAGGCTGCTGATGCGATTTTGGGCTCTAACAAAGGCAAGAGGAGGAGTTTCGGAACCAAAATCTCACCATGTAGTAAACTTTAAGGGCCGGTCATACCGGTCAGCGATCGATCCGCGATGGATGATCGTCGCGACTGGGTGGAAACTAGCGACGAAAACGAGCGACGGATCGCTGATCGCTCGAATAAGGGGGCATACCACCGCGGCGATGTGTGCATTCTCACACTACGTCACATAAGTTTCTCCAATCGCTCACGCTCCGCTCCAGCAGAGCGCTCGTTTCTGAGAAACAAATTTTGTACCAGCATAAACTTCTCATATAAAAGTCATGAATATCTGACAATCACTGAATCCAGTGCAGATTAGCCGCGGAATATGTACAGCTAGCTCCTGAGAGTTGACAAACAAAAGTCATGCCCGTGATGAGGATACTGAGGTAATAAAGAACACAAAGAAACGTTATAATGGTTAATAGTAGAGCCGTACCCACGAAACACACATCAGTTGAAAACCAGATAGCTGGCAAATTTGGGAAGTGTGCAAGGCATTTAGCGTGAGTGACAATTGCTGATAAATCAAAAGGCTTCCATTTCACGGAAAACCAATGCACTTTGACAAAACTAAAATTGTTTCCAATCCCCAGACACGAGACCAGCTTAAGAAAGTAAAGAACAATCATAAAACTTTCTTGAAAAGAGATCCCAATCCTAGCGATCCATCGCGTCGCGCATTTGAAATGAGCGACGCGAATTCGCTAGAATGAGCGACGATCGCGGCGATTTCGCTCAAATCGGTAAGGCCGGGTAGAA